GGATCGGTGCCCTGCCCATCTTCCAAAGCCTGATGTTGGTGTCCAGTTCCTTGTGTCTGTCTGAGGGCACTGCCCAGCTGGGAAGTGCTGAGTGATCAGTCTGTGCCTGTCTGCTGCTCACTCAAAGGTTTGCTGTGGTAGTCGAACTGGGTGATGAGAAAGCTTCTCTGATAGGTTGTGTAGGTGGAGTCCGTGATAGACTTTTTGAGTTGAACATAAGGAGATTTTGGATGGGATGACAGCTTTTATCATTGCTTGCTGTACCTTTACTAGAAGAAAAAGAAAACTTGGCTTCAAAGTAGACTTGTCACAGAATTATGCGCCAGTTTCCCTACCACTGAAGCCCAACAGACTCAAAGGCTGGTAACTGCTCTCTGTAGCACAGCAACAAGGGCAATAGTTGCTGGAAATGGTCTGTGCAAATAGCAGAATGCGTTGCTCCACTCCAGAAGAAGCCTATGCTCTGCTTGAAAACCTATTGGCCTCTGTTTGGCCCTTGGAGAATAATAACTGGGCTAGCTGGTGCTTGCTGAAGGATCTTTTTGCCCCGTGTGCACCTGTCAACCAAAGTAGGAGCAATGATCCGTTCCAGAGAGTGGGATGGACAGTGGTGCTTACAGGGAGCAATAGGTTGAGGGGTTTTGTTGCCTGGAGAGTTAACAGGAGTGGTTAGTTTGATTTGTGATTATGAGCAGATACTCCTCAGCCCTTCTGTGGGAAGAAGGGGAATTGTCTAAGGTTGGCAAAGCGGCCAAACTTTGAGGGTTGTTTCCTCCACGGCCCCTCCTAGAGCATATGGTCCCTCTCATCTGCATGACAAGGTAAGTGGGACTATCAAATGACATTCTCCCTTCCCAATGTCAGGGTTAGCTCTGAAGATCTCAGGCATTTCATTTCAAAAACTGTCCCATCTCTTTCCTCATCCTGTTTCTGTTCATAGGCTGTATCTGAAGTCTGACACCACGAGGTGATAATAATCTAGAGCCCAGCCTAGGTACTGAGGAAACTCCCAGAAAGCCTGAGGTGAGGTAGTTCCCATGTTCAGGCTGCCTGGGGCTGCTGGAAGGAGTGAGGCTGTGATTGAGGGAGGCTCTCAGCCAGGTTAGATGTAGAAGGTAGATCACATCAGCCCTTGGCTGGCTCCAGCTGCTCCCTCCCAGCCCCCCAGCACTGTGCTTGTCTGTGCACCGCTGAAACGTACCCTGCTGTTTGCTGAATATTTGCCCTCACGCTTCTCCCTCTGCCCTGCTCTGCCTCAGCTAACGAGGGTATTGTTCAGCCAGGGAGGCATCGGCTCGTGTTTGTGCCTGGCTGCAGCGCGGTTCCAAGCACAGATCCTCCTGACAGTGCCAGATGGCGAGCGCAGGGAAGAGGGCAAAGGGAGCTGCAGCTCTTCCCCCTCCTTGGAAAAAACCTAGTGGGAGCGTGTATGGCCCAGTGCTGCTGCTGCTGTGTGAACTCTGGAAGGGGGAGATGGAGCATGGTCGAGGAATGGGCCTCTGGACAGCTGGGGGAGGCACAATGTGTCAGACCGTGAACCTCTAGTTTAGGTTTCCTTGAGCCTCCAATCCTGTGGTAATAAACCTTACATAAACCTAGCCTGAAGCACAGCATTAATATTTTAAAAATGACATTTAAGGTATTGAATATATGCTACGTTCTCCAGAAGAATATCTGTGTGTGTGTGTGTGTGTGTGTGTTCACTTGGGGCTTTGTTTTCCTTTTATAGTGGATTGTTGTGTGTATGTGTTTTACTCGGGGTATTTTGTGCCACAATAAGAAGGGGAAGGGAGCGGGAAAATCCTGCTCTGTTTATACACACTGCTGTCAACAGTGATGCTGCGTGTTTCAGATTTACATCCTCTGTGAAGCACTCTGGATTCCAGGCAAACAACACCCTTCTCTTCATCCCAAGATCCTTCAGGAGGATTGCCTAAGACTCTCCTGCCATAGCCCTCTTACTGGCAGGCTTGTCCTCTCCTGGAATTTGGCTCTGGTGAACGTGGCACACTCCATACTCAGCATGCAAACCAGTTGATATGCTAAGGTTTGAAGGGACAACCTTGGAAAATGTCAGAGCAGCATTTCTGCACCATTGTTCTGCTGCTCTGATCACAGAAAAGAGCTCTGAGTGAGCCAAGCTGTAATTTTCAGGCAGCGAGGCAGAGGAGGGACTCAGCAATGGCTCTCTGTATGTGCCTATGTCCCTCCAGAGCTTCTTTGACACTTTTCCAATGCCTTACACCTTTGTGAGTCTTCAGAGACACCGATGCAGGGCTGAGCCTGAAATGTTACTGCTCACCCATAATTTTTATAAATCTCAGGTGTAACACATCTCCTTTCCCTCCTCCCTGAGTTTTTTATGTGTTTAGGTTTTGTGACAGGAGCATTTTTATGTCTTTTCTCCCTTGGTTTCCCACCTCTCACCCAGCCCTGGAATAGTGAATGACTGTGCCCTTTCTTATCTCTTGATATAGGCCTCAAGGGACAGTTCCTTCCTATCCATCTCCTGAATGCCATAACAGCAGGTAGCCTGGGACATGCTGGAGAAGCACTGGGTCTGAATCCTCCCTTTTGATATAAGTGGACATTATGCATTTTTAATAGACATAGAGTTCAATGAAACCCTTAGTACTAGCTGAATTGGCACAAAATTCCCAGGCAAGTAGTCTTTGGAGCTGATCTCTCCCTAGGTACCTTGCAGAAAATGAGACCAAGGACAAAAAAAGGCCATGTTCTCTTTGTAAGAACTGCCTTGTTTTGCAGAGGAGGTGGCTGAGCAGAAGCCAGCCCGGCTGTGCGGTCTCTTTAGCTCTGTATGAAGGATTCTGGATTGGCAGTCCTTATTCATCCCTGGGCATCCACAGGGTAGGTGTAGCCTGAGGGGAGAGGCTGTTTGGACAGTACTTCAGCACTGGCCTGGAGGCATCACCTCCCTGTTTTGTCCAGTCTCAGCAAAGCTCACTTCCACCTGAGCAGTGGCTTGGGGCCGTGTGTGAAGTCCTTCAGTTTGCTTCACTTCAGAGAGAAAGAGTATGGGAGCTGCTGCCCCTGTGATGATGCAGTTGGGATTGGCCAGTGTGTCTTGATGCTTGCTAATTTGTGGGTAATGCTTTGACTTCCAAACTACATAGCAGCCAACTCTGCTCCCAGGTACCCCTCGAGGTCCGCAAGTTAAAACTGGAGTCAGAATTCTATGGGTTCAAAACAAAAAGCCTGGTGAAATTGTTGGGAGTCGCTGGTGAAGATCACTGAGATTGCTCCACAGTTTGGACCTCAGCTTCCTGAGCACTGAAGCTTTTCACAGTGACTGGAAAGTTGTGTGCTTTTATTTGTTGTACCTTTTTTGGTAAAGCATCAGTAAATGTCCCTATACCTGCGGGTTACCATGGCACTGTAACCTTACCAGATCTGGTAGAGGGGGAGTAACGAGGGAGTAGCTGTAGCTGTGGATCTGTGCGTGTCCACTGTGGAACGTGTAGCCAGGAAGAGATGATGGTATGTGGAGGGGGTTGATCTGGTTGGAGGCAGGTGAGCAGGCAGCAGTGGCAGGACAGGTAGAAGGTAACTTGCCCCCAGCCTCAGGACTGACTTTTGGCCCATGTTAAACTGTCCAGCTGAAAGTGTGGCATTCAGAAACATGGGTACCGTGGTGTTCAGCCATCTCTGAGGAATCTGCTGCCGAGCATGAGTCAGCCCTGCCTGGGTTAACTGTTAAAGGGCAGTATCAGGAGATGAGATCTTTACTTTGCTCCTCAGCCCCTTCAAGCCCTGCATCCTCCAGCTGGTCCCGATGAAGGAAGGGAGCATCCCTAGGGTCCTGGTGCATTGTTGGAGATCACAGAAGTGTCCTGTCTGCCCACTGGGCTTGCTGCAGTTGTCCCCAGATTGGGGGCAGCCCCAGGCACACCCAGAGCCTCCTTGCTCCTGCTGTCCTTCGCCCAGTGCCGGGGCCCTGGGTCAACTGCGGGGTGGATGTGGGGGTCCCTTGCTGTTTGGGTAGGGATGGCTGAGTGAGGCCATGGAGAGAAATGGTGCTGGATAGAAGGGGATTTGCATGAGATCTAACAAGTGTTACCCACTGCTTGCAGAGCTCGGGTGGACTCAGCTGGGGAGCCCTCAGTCTGGGCATGGAGGCACAACGAGGAGCAGAGGGTGGTTCCGTGTGCGTGCAGCAAGCGCAGCAGAGCTCGGCCTGCCTTCCTGAGGCTGGGGGCAAACCTTGCTTTCCACCTCATGTATGGTCACTGCTTTCTCTCAGAGAGGTCCTGAGCCTCCTCACCAGCAAGACCCTTGCCTCACACCCAGCCCTTCCTAGCCTCACACTTTCCATTTGCCTGCTGATCTGGGAGAGCGTCTCCCTTAGCCTGTGGCTGCAAACTCAGCGGGTGATGCTGTGGAGTGAGGAGAGCAGGAACCAATTCCTTAAGGGGCCATCTCAGAGCCTTCCCTGGCTTTTCCTCCTGTCGCAGGGAGAAGTGCCCCTGCCTAAGTGGAATAAATTGGTACAGACCATTAGCAGCGCAGGTCCTTCTCTGTTGGGGGGGGAGGGAAGGGGCTGTCAGCACTGCTCTGGATACAAAGCAGCCAGCCACGCTCTGGCTCCTTCCTCCCGCACCCCGCTGGGCCCCCCCCCCTCCTCCTCCCTGTTTGCACGCTCCCTCCCTCTCTCCTTCCCTCCTTCCCTCCCTCTTTCACTCTCTTTCTCTCCCTTAACGCCACGCTGCAGACAGGCAGACCTGAGGAACCGGAGCTCCTCGGGGGCAGTGGAGGAAGAAGGAGCTCTCCAGTGCTGTTCCTTTGCGAGTGAAACGGGAAGGCAGAGAGGCAATGAAGGAGTGTCTTGGTTACTGCCGGGATTAAGAAAGAATACATTAAAAAAAATCAAATCTGGACCCAACAAACAAGGAAGAAGGGAGGAGAGAAGGAGGAGGAGGTTGCTGGGGGGAGCCCACTCCGGTGGGTGAAGAACGGCTTTGAATCGTGCCTCTGTTCCCGGGGATTAAAGCATGAATGGGAGCAGCTTCCCAGCCACGATGGAGAGAGAAGGCGGTTCAGGCTGTGGGAATAAGGTAACTCTTGCCTCTTACAGGCATTGTGTGGCTGAGCTGAGCAGGACAGAGATCCTTTATGCACAGGGCTGGGTGTGTGTGTGTGTGTGCATGTGTGTGTGCAGCCGGCAGGGAGTGGGAGGAAGCACAAAAAGGCTCAAAGCGATTTTTCTCCCCCCCTCCCAGTGTATTTAAAGGATGCAGAGTGGGTCCCAGGGGCTGCAGGGCTGGAGATCACTTTGCCCCCTTTCTCAGGCTGGGTGTCTGGGGATGCCAAGCTGTCTTGCCTGGGGAAGGCAGGCTGGGTTATGGGGAAATATGCCCATGTCTCATCTCCAGGAGCACTGTGCTCCCAGCCTTGCCCTCCCAAACCTGCACCTGCTCTGGGGCTCCCCTCGTGGGCTTGCGTGTGGCTCTCGGGGAAGCTGTGTGGGGACTACAATGGCCCTGCTGCCTTCCAGCCCGTCCGTGCATCTGTGCTGAAAGACAGGGATGGGATTTAGGAGGAGGGGGAACTGAAATCCCTTTCATTCATGCCAGCAGTGGTGAGAGCCAACTTTGAGGCTGCTTAAAGGGAAAAGGTTTCTGAGTGCTATCTTTTGGAGGAATAGGAGATGGCTGAGCGGTGCTGTGCCATCTGAGGCGTGATCTCTGTGTCATGTTGTGTTGTGGGAGTGAGTGGGAATGGAAAATAGTGATTATGGGGGAGAAACACCATGGTGATCAATGATGCTGTCCATAAATTAATGCTTTCCTTTTCCCTGCTGGGCCTCTCTTTGACTCAGTTCCTGTGTCTCTGACCCTGAAAGTCCTAATTTCTCTCAGTCAGAGGAGAAAGCATAACTTCAAATAGTATTGGGAGGTGGATCAGCCTAGATGTTCTTTGGGAAAGCACTGAGGAGGACCTAATGTTTACAGCTGTGGAGCCCATATCCAGTGTATCCCAGCAAGTGCAGGTCTTGGCTGGGCATCCCTCACTCTCTTTAGCAGGATCTTGCTGCTGCAATATCCGTTTGTTCTGTGCTGTCCATCAGATACCCCCTCCTCCCTTTGCATTCAGGGGCTTCGTGATGGGTCTTGGCATGGGATTAGGAAGCATTTGCTGTGGTTACTTAGATAATGACGTGTCACAGAAGTCCCTGCTTATGTGCATACAGTGCAGAAAGTGATGAGCTCCAGTGTGCTGTCAGTTGACGTAAGAGCTTGTATACACATCTAAGGAGCTTATGGTCCAATGTTATGGACTCAAAGAGACTATGCAGTCTGTTGCATAGGCCTGTGTGTGCTTGTCTAAGTAGTCAGTGACCCTGAACATCTACAGTGAGGTGTCACCAGCTTGTGGAAATGGGTGAGGTTGGGTGTGTTTGTGCATACACAGAAATATGGAAGAAGGACTGTGTCAGTGTACAGTGGAGCTTCAAGCCATTCTTTTGTTTCTTGAGTAATCCTTGCTCGTATGAGGAAATTCTCCTAACTCACCTGAGATGCATCGTGCTCCCCTTGTTTGTCTAATTAGTTCCTCTCTGTACACAGATCTCCAATGAGAATGAACTGACCAAGATTTGGCTAGGTTACTGTGGTTGGGATTGCTTGGGTTACCTGACAGAGTTGGGATCGAAAAGGTGTGGGAAAGTGGAAGCACTCAGGAAAAGACAATAAAATATCTTCTTTCTGTATGTAGCAGCCTACTCTGTTTTGTGTCAGCTTCAAAGCACTGAGGAATATGGCAGATGTTCTGCTGAAAGAATTGAATAATTGGGCAGTGAAAAGGAAGGATATTTCTCCCAGGAGGATTAATTCTACGATAGGGGCCAAGAGCTTTGGAAATGGCCAAAGCCAGCAGGACAGTGGATGCTACTAGAATGAGAAGGCAGCTGACCAATAATTTTATTTTCCTGGTTGCATATGTGTGGGTTTATGAAAGACAGAGTAAGGAAAATGAAATTGGTGACGTTGGCTATGAGCACTTTCCCATTTCATGCAGCTGAGTTCAAAATCCCTCCCTGCACACCCCCGTCGGCAAAAACTAGTGAAACCTGTCAGCTTTCCATGGGAGAAATGTGAACTTGGGAGTCGTTAGCAGCACAGTAACAGCTTGTATGAGAGCTGGCTCCCTCCAAGCCGGCTGACCCGAGGGAGGTGCAAAACAGGGGACCCAACTTTACTGTCATTTCAGTTCTCTAGGACAGCAAAGGGAGAGGGCATCGTAAAAAACAGTGGGAGAGCTTTTCTCACTTGTTAGTTGGCATCCCAAAGTTTCCTGACCCATCAAGGTGGCTCATAGTGGAAAGTGACTGCAAAGAGGGGATAGTACCCCAACCCTAGGCAGAGACTGTCACCTGGGATGTGTCACAGGCCTGACACGGTGCCACTGGGGTCAGGGATTCTGTTCTCTTGTGGCTTTGTCCTCACCAGGGCAGTGTCTCACAGAGCTCCAGCTAACTATGGCGGTGCCTGGATTTGCTCTCTTTCCTCCCTTGACCTGCAGTGTTGTTCTGGCTTTTGCTCTGCAGTTCTGCACCTTCTGAGGCAAAAAGAGCAGCAACTGCCTCCTGTTTGTAGGGCCATGTTGGTTTTCAGCACGCTCACAAATGCTGCTTCTTCCTGGCGAACAATTGCTGTAGCTGGGAAATCTGGCCTAAGCTGAGCAAGAAATCTTCTTCCAGTAACAAAAGTGTGAGCACACGCTCTCCCCTTGTGTCAAGCTGGCTGCTCAATGTCAAAATAATGCTTTCTGAAAGGAAAACAGTGCCTCTGCCCTTTGAATCTTTCCCAGCACCCTCGTGTTGCAACAGCAGAAGCCTTGGGAAATGAAAAGAACTGACTTTTAAGGGACATTAGGGCAAATATTGCAATTCGTTTTTTAGTGTTTCTTGGAGCCTTGCCTTTTGCAATGCCTTTGCTCACTCCTGCCCTTGTTCTGTTTCTACTAGCTCAAGAAAAAAAAAAAAGTTGTGCAGTTTTTTCTCCTTCAAAAAAACCCAGTGGGCAGATTGGAATCCATAGGGAGAGAGGATATGGCCCTTTCTTGCATCACTGTACATTTTGTCTTGCAAGGATGAGCAGTGCCAGAGGCTGCCTGGCTTCCAGGGCTGCTTTTCATATGGGCTTATCAGCAACATCTCTGTCTTCTGGGGTCGCAGCATGTCTTGATCAGCATCTTTCTCCATGGTTGATGCCCTCTGTGACCCTGCATTTTTTCTGCAGCCCTCCCATTGCGTGCAGAAGCCTTGAAAAGTTGGGTGGGCTGTAGGTGTTAGTCTTGTTTGGGAATATGGCTGGAAGTGCATGTGGTGTGGCTTCAACCCACTCGAAGGCAAAGCATCTTCTGGAGGCAATGTCATCGAAAGGGCCCTCTGCAGTGTCTTTCTCATGGGTCCTTGTTCTCTGTAACTTATTGTCTTTTATGCTTTGCTTGTGGAGATCCTGAATCAGTTACCGCCCAGTGTTTTGCTTCTCTGGTGGCAAGAGAAGTGGTCTTTGCCAAGCAAAATGTCTGTATAGTGAGGGTGGATTCTCCCTTTTTCTCCTGTGAACCTCAACTGTTTGTGTTTGGATTGGCAAGTTGACATCAGGGCTGGATTCACCTTCAGAAGCTAATAAGGGCTTTGCTGAGTGGAGATCACAGGGTGTGGCCCATAGTTAATCTTCATATCCTGCTCTAGACACGTGGACCACCCCCAAGTGCTCTAAGTAATACAGCGTATTAGTCACTATTGAATATATCCTCCTACATTTTTTAATGGGAACTCCACGCCTCCAGGGAGCTGAGGCCATGAGAGACTGAGGAAACAACGGAGAACGATTCGTCATGCTAGGGAGCAGATACCAGCTTCTTGCAGTGCTGATGGCTTTGTCCCACAAATTCAGCAGGTTTAGTCCTCCTGTTCTTTACCCTCTCTGTCTGTGGATCTGTTAGTTGTGCCAAGTGGCACTTTCCAAGTCACATCATTCACAGGCTCATAAAATGACTCCTGCGTGGGATAGATGATACCTTACAGGTACCTGTACAGTGCCTGAAGCCCCCTTGCACAAGCAGCTTTGCACACCTGTGTTTTTCATCCTGGCCTGTGTATAGACGTGTGTTCTTTCCCTTGTACAGCTGTGAGCAGATGCACACAGGCTCTGTTTCTGTCTGAGAAATGCCCTGTCCTGCCTGAGTACCACAGAACCTTTAAGCAATTTGCAGATATCCCTCCAGCTATCCTATCCGTGCGAGCCACGGGGAACACGATGTGATATGCCTGGCAGTGACAGCAGAATAAATAGGAAATGCTCAGCATCCCCCTCCTGCCTGGCTCTGAGCTATTTTCCTAAAGATGGGAAAGAGCTGAGCTTCTGCACAAGGCTTCCTGCACTTGTTGTTGCTGTTCTTTAAGAGCAGGTGATGTATTGGCTCTCAGAGGGTGTGTTAATGTGTTGGTCACTGCTGGCCCAGCTCCAGCCTGTACGCTGCCCTGGAATGCTATTTATTGTTAGTTCCTGAGATGTGGTTTGGTACTCCAGAGTCCTTGGTGCTGTGAACATCTAGCCTCTGCACTGGAGCATAGTATGGACAGAGAAAATACTGCATGCTTGGTTTTGGTGGAAACTTGGCCAAATACTGACCAGGGAAAGGTGATTGACCTGTGATCATGTAGGGAGTCCCCTGGCAAAGATATGGGAACCCACAGAAGAAATTCTGCCAGTTAGAATGGGCAACCTTCAGAAAGGCATTTAAAAAAACCCATCTCTGAAACCTCTGGGGAGGGAGTTGACATCTTCACGTCACGATTGAGAGTTCTTTCTGTTCAGCTCCAGGCTGTTGCAAAGACATGCATGCACTGCAGAGCCCATGGGAGAGAGATGTCTGCTGATCCCTCAAGTTCCTTCCACAGTGTCTGCTGGAGTCTGGTTATCCTCTCTGGAATAACAACAGCTGGTACCCTGTTAATGCAACATGGAAAGTAGAGTTCAGAATCTCTCCTTCCATTCCTGCCTTGTGCACTCCAGACCAGTGGGCTGAGTTGTCAGAAGAATTT